GCTGCTTTTAAAGAAACTGGAACTCTAGAATGCCTCGTTTCCTGAACTGTTAGCTCTTACCTGTTCCATGTTCTCCGGCATTTCAGGCATGGTTCCAAAATGATCTCAGGAAAACAGATCTGGGGTGAGTTTCAGCCTCTGGTCTCCTCTGGTTGGGTCTTTGTTCTTTCTGCCGGGAGTGCAGGCAGGGAAAACGTGAGCCGTGGTTTCACGCGACCTTTTAAATTAGCATTTTGATGCCAATCCCAGAAACTCGTGCAGATTTCAACACTGCAGTAAACTGGCAGCTGATTCCCTGTGGCAGTCTTGAAAATACCCAATGAGAAGTTTCCAGTTCAATGGCCAGACTAGCGAGGGTCCATTAGCAAGACCATTAGGAGAACCAAATTTTTTTTTTTTTTTTTTTTTTAAAGAAACAACAGCAACAAAACCTCTCAGTGAGGACTTTGCACTTTTCTTGCTTTGCAGAAGAAAAGCAAGAGCCAGCCTTAGGAAAGCACTCACACTATGCAACTGATTCCTGATTTGGAATGTTTTATTATTAAGCCTCATTACAACCGAATCTGTTTAGCAAACTTTCCCCTAACTCTTCCCCTCAGTGCTTTTTAACCATTTCAAAGGTCAGTACAAGGCAGGTGGTAACAGCATGCAGAAACTCAAATGCAACAGGTCATTTTCACTAATAGTCTCTTGCCCTCTGATCCAGAAAATGGCATGTGGGTAAGCCGTAAGTTTGGCCAGACATTACCAACTTAGAGATCAAATGAAACATCATTCTGAAGGAATGGAGCACAATCTTTTAACTATTTCAAAGATGATGAATATGATCAATTAAATTTTGAACTACTGCTCCGGATTATGGCTCTCTAACAATTTAACAACAAAATTGCTATTCAGTTGAACCTAAAAATATATCTTAGCTCTTGATATATTACCCACTTAGAGACCACACCTGGCACACAGTAAACTCTATGTGGCATGCAGAGAGTCTATGAGTAATGAAGAACTTACAATTTTTAAAAAATTGATAAGTTATGCCCTAACCGATTTGGCTCAATGGATAGAGCATCAGACTGCAGACTCAAGAGTCACAGGTTTGATTCCTGTCAAAGGCATGTACTTGGTTGTGGGTACATTCCCAATAGGTGTGCAGGAGGCAGCTGATTGATGTTTCTTGCTCATCAATGTTTCTAACTCTCTATCCCTCTCCCTTCCTCTCTGTAAAAAAAAAAAAAAGAAAGAAAGAAAGAAAAAAAAAATAAAACATATATTTTTAAAATAATATATATAAAATTGATAAGTTAAAATTCAACAACATTTAATGGTCTGTTCATCAAAAGATAATATTTAAAACATGAATCAGAAAAGCAGACTGGAGAAATGCTCTTGATACCTATATCTGCAAAGAACTAATATTCAGAATATTTAAAGAACTTCTACAAATCAGTGATTTAAAAAAATCATATATATATATATATATATATATATATATATATATATATGTGTGTGTGTGTGTGTGTGTGTGTGTGTGTGTATATATATATATATATATATATATATTTTTTTTTTTTTTTTCTGCAGCGAGAATCTTAGGGGAGGTTTTCAGTAGCATATTCACCAGCTTTCAGGTGCATTTTTAATATGCTGATGTAATAAAATGAGTGTATAATGGAGTTTTGGATTATTCTAGTTATTTTTAAAAATATATATTTTATTGATTTTTTACAGAGAGAAAGAGGGACAGAGAGTTAGAAACATCGATGAGAGAGAAACATCGATCAGTTGCCTCCTACACACCCCCTACTGGGGATGTGCCTGCAACCAAGGTACCTGCCCTTGACCGGAATCGACCCTGGGACCTTTCAGTCCGCAGGCCAGTGCTCTATCCACTGAGCCAAACCGGTTTCAGCGGATTATTTTTGGTATATTTTACTTTCATCCTATGTTTGTTTGGTATTAATGGGGTTGTTATTTGTTCCCAACTTCATCTGTCCTTGGGTTTAACTGGCACAAATGGCATTAATTGGGCCTTAGTTCTCTATTTTCCCAGACCAGAGTGATTTAAACTGTGTATTCTCTGGTTAGGGAGGAGGGTATAAACTATTTGCTCACAAGTGTCCTTGGTTAGGGAACACAAGGTCTTGCAATTCACAGGCTGGGTGCCAGCTGCCCAAAATGTTTGGCCTTGTTTAATTTTCTTATCTCAGTTTCCCCATCACACTTGCCCAGGGATTTTCTAGCTTCTTGCTCTCCTGGTACAAAAGATACTATTATGCTAATTACCTTGGCTAGACTTAAATATGCATATGGGAGTTTATTAGGGAATAATCAAAAAATGAATCATTAAAAACAAGGCTGGATTCCTAATTTACTTATACTAAAATAAGTTCTTGACAGATTAAAAATGTTTATATTAAAATGTAGCACAAAATTACTAAGGGAAGCCTTTGTTAAATGAAACAGCCGTGAGCCCTGGCTAGATAGCTCAGTTGGTTAGAGTATCCTGCCAATGCACCAAGGTTGGGGGTTAGATCCCCCGTTAGTGCACATATAAGAATGCAAAATAAGTGGGACAAGAAATTTTCCCGCCCTTCCCCCCCACTTCCCTTTCTTTCTCTCTAAAAGTCAATAAATAAAAAATCTTGCCAAAACCAGTTTTGCTCAGTGGATGGAGCGTTGGCCTGTGGACTGAAAAGTCACAGGTTCGATTCTGGTTAAGGGCATGTACCTTGGTTGCGGGCACATCCCCAGTAGGGGGTGTGCAAGAGGCAGATGATGGATGTTTCTCTCTATCCCTCTCTCTTCCTCTCTGTGAAAAATCTATAAAATATATTAAAAAAATAAAAAATCTTGAGTCCAAAAGTTGTGCTGAAAGAAAGGGTTTATTGCCCGTTTGGTATGGCTCAGTGGTTGAGCATCATCGACCTATGAACCAGGAGGTTACAGTTTGATTCCTGCTCAGGGCTCAACCACTGAGCCACAGTGGCCAGGCTACATAAGTCTAATTCTGAGTCGTTTTTTGTATGCAGGGTTTAAGGTAAGGTTCCAGTTTCATTCTGTTGCATTTGGACACCCTGTTTTCCCAACAGTATTTGTTGGAGAGGCTATCCTTTCTCCATTGTGTGTTCCTGTCACTCTCAGCTGGTTTCCGGAGTTCTCACAGTTCCTGTATTGTGGTTGAATCAGCATGTCCTTGGGGAGAAAGAGGATCCAGGGCTTCCTGATCATCTTGCTGATGTCACCTCTCAGTTTGGTGTATCTTTTCACATCCTTTTTTTCCATCTATTTTTGTCTTTCTATTGTTTGTCTTTATACTTGAAGTAAATTTTATAGGCAACATATAGTCAATTTTGCTTTTCAATTTAATTTGGCCATTTTTGTATTTTAATTGGAGTATATAGACTATTTATACTTAATGTTGACTATTGACATACATTTAATTTTACCATATTGCAATTTGATTTCTTTTTGCCCATTTGTCATTTGTTTTTATGAATATGTTTTTATCATTTGTTGTTGTTTAAGAGAGAGGAAGGGAGAGGGAGGAACATAGATCAGCTGACTCCTGCATGCCCCCACTGGGGATCAAGCCTCAACTGGGCATGTGTCCTGACTGGGAATCAAGCCGGTGACCTCTGGTGAATAGGATGACAATCAACTGAACCACACCAGCCAGAGCTGTTCTTTGTTTTCCTTTTATTTTAGAAGTGAAAATTTATTTTTTTTCCAAGAAAAACGATCTTAAATATAATGTTTTGTGCAATAAATATTAATATCTCAAGAAAAACAAATTTAAATTTTACATGCAATAAACACCAATTATTCAGGAAAAAACGATCTTACATATAATAATATTACATTCAATAAACAATATTTTAGAATAAAAGTATTTTAGGTAAATAATATTGTTAAAACTGTACTAATATAGTTTAATATCACAAAAGTTGTAAGGACGTATTAACAATCTGCAAATAAGAGGATTACTTCTATTAGATTCTAAAATATTCCCCCCCCCTTCACTGGCTCTATTTTGTTCATCAGTTTATGTTGTTCGTTATATTCCACAAATGAGTGAGATCATGTGAGATTTATCTTTTTCCAAATGGCTTAATTCGCTTAACATGGATGTTCTCTAGGTCCATCCATGCTGTTGCAAATGATGAGTTCCTTCTTTTTTATAGCAGTATTCCACAGTGTAGAAGTACCAGTTTTCTAATCCACTCATCTGCTGATGAACTCTTAGGCCGTTTCCAAATCTTAGTGATTGTAAATTGTGCTGCTATGAACATAGGGGTACATATATCCTTTCTGATCCCCCTACCCCCCCTTGGGATATATTTCGAGAAGTGGAATTACTGGGTCAAATGGGAGTTTTTTGAGGAAACTCCATACTGTTCTCCAGTGTCTGCACCAGTCTGCATTCCCACCAGCAGTGCAAGAGGGTTCCTTTTTCTTGTTCTTTGTTTTCCTTTCCCTCTTTTTCTGCCTTCCTTTAAATAGAAAATTTTTTTCTGATTCTATTTTTATCTTCTGTTTTGACTTATGGCTGCAAGTGTTAGTGATTTCCTTAGGGTTTACCATATACATTATTAACTTATCACAATCTATCCTCAGATAACATACCACTTTACATATACTTAAGAACTTTACAATCACATATTTCTATTTTTCCCCTCCTGAATTTTTGAGTTTGCTGTCATACTCTAATTTTAAACGTGTTAACTCCAAACTATGTTATTTTTGCTTAAACAATTATCTTTCACTGAAACTGGTTTGGCTCAGTGGATAGAGCGTAGGCCTGAGGACTGAAAGGTCCCAGGGTCGATTCCGGTCAAGGGCATGTACCTTGGTGGCGGGCACATCCCCAGTAGGGGGTGTGCAAGAGGCAGCTGATTGATGTTTCACTCACATCAATGTTTCTAACTCTCTATTCTTCTCCCTTCCTCTCTGTAAAAAAATCAATAAAATATATTAAAACAAAACAAAATGATTATCTTTCAAAAAGAATAAAGTAATAAGAAAAGAAGACCAAACAAGTCATAGATTTACCCATGCAGTTACTATTTCTAGTGCTCTTCATACCTTGGTGTATTATTTTTTTAAAAATATATATTTTTATTTATTTCAGAGAGGAAGGAAAAGGGAGAGAAACATTATGATGAAAGAAATTATTGACCAGCTGCTTCCTGCACACCTTACTGAGGATTGAGCCCACAGCCCAGGCATGTGCCCTTGACCAGAATCTAACCCGATGCTCTATCCACTGAGCCAAACCATCGAGGGCATTCCTTTGTGTATTCTCCTTTCCACTTGGTATCACTTTTCTCCTGCCTGAAGGACTTTTCTGATTTCTCCTAGCGTGGTCTGCTGGTGATAATTTTTGTCTTTTTGTCTATAAATCATTTTATCTTTGTTCCTGAAAACTATTTTTTCTTCATCACTGCTTTTCAGCAATTTGATTGTGATATCATTTGTTTTTAGAGTTCATTGTGTTGTTTGGCTCTGCAGGCTTACAGTTTTCATCCTAATTGGAAAATGCTTCCACCAGTAATGTTTTCCAATAATTTTTCTGTCCCTTCCTTTCCTCCTCTGGGAATCCCAATTAAATATATCTGGAGGGGTCCCAGAGCACCGTGGTGCTGTTCATTTTAAAATCTTCTTTCTGCGTTTCATTTTGGACAGTTCCTACTGCCGTTGCCAAGTTCACTAATCTTTCCTTTTGCAATGCCTAATCTGCTGTCATTCCCATTAAGGTACTATTTTTCCATCTCACACATTGTAGTTTTTACACGTTTGATTGGGTCTTATTTCTATGTTACATGTTTCCACTAGGTTTTGGTATGTATGGTTTTGATGCCCTCTGTTAATTGTAACCTATGTGTTAGCCCTAGGTGGTATATTTTCTTCATTAGGGGTAGTGTTTCCTGCCTTTCTGCAGAACTGGATGCTATAAACTGTGAAATTTACCTTTGTAAGTGCTTCATAGTTTTATAATCCTATAATATTCTTGAGCTTTGTTCCGAGATGTAATAGCACTGTCTAAAAACACACAAACAATTGTATGTACCGTAATTATAAAATACTTTATTGCTTAAAAATGCCAATAATCATCTGAGCTTTCAGCAAGTCATAATCTTTTTGGTATCCTTGTTTGACATAGGGTTGCCACGAACCATCAATTTGTAAAGAACACATTATCTGCAAAGTACAATAGAAGTGAAGTGCAATAAAATGAGGTATACCTGTATTCCCCAACACTGGGGCTAAATCCTTCTGTACATCCTACTCTAAGCGCCATACAACCTTAGGTTTCTCCAGCTTGGCTGGTGGCCACAGGCCGTATCCCTAGCCTAGTGTCAGCTTTGAGCACTGTGAATTTTCATTGTGGAGGGTGCTTCTTTCCCTGGCCTCATGTAGTTAGTTTCCTCACATGCACGATTGATGAAAACTTTAGGGACCCTTGGCAGACTCAAGAGTTTTCTCTCCGTGCAATTTTCTCCTTCCCCGTGCCCTGTCCTGCAAACTCTGGGCACTTGGGTCTCCTCACATCTCAGCTCTGTCTTTTTCAACTCTGGTGCTTGGGTGGACTCTGCCTGCATTCCCCTCTCCTACATCATCCTTTGAAAATTCTCTCAAGGCAGTAAACAGGGAACAATTATAGGGCTCACCTGGATTTTTCCATCTCTTGTCTCATGCCTAGCATCTTGAAACTCATTATTTTGTATATCTTGTCTAGTTTTTTTTTAGGTGTGTGTGTGTGTGTGTGTGTGTGTGTAGGGTAGGGAAAGGAACTATAAATTTAATTCCTGTTACTCCATCTTTAGTAAAAACAGGAGTCTTGAACTATTTGATTTTATTATACAAATTTCCTAATTTCTACATTTCCTCTGAACTTAATTAAAATGACATTTAAAAATTCAACTATCTATCAAGTTCCAATAAAATCATTTATTGTAAAAAGCTATTCTGATTGTAATAATCTCTGTTGGTCCCTCAAGGGGGAGATATTATTTTAAAAGGTGGATTATCATGTACTAACTGTGTAAATCAGAAATTTTAGATGGAGTATTACCACTCTCTAAGTGGTATACTACCATTTGTAATTCTAGAGAAGGTAGGTAGGGGAGGGCAGAGATAATAAATATACCTTACATAGAAGCATTAATGTAACTTCATATAATATGAGTTAATGTGTGACCTTTATTTCACATTTCAGAAATACTAATCCAACGTCCAGCAGTCAGACCAATGGTAAGCAACAGAAGAAAAATCCTCTAGTTAATTAAGTGCTCTCCCGCTCCTAGGAGCATGCAGTGCCTTTTCCACCCCCCTCTTTTTCACACATAGGCCCACATCTCCTAAACTCTAAGGGTCCCCATGAGACTTGCAACTAGGGTAGCAGTGGGCAGCAACAACTCGTCCTGGGCTAACCCTGCATCTGTCCCCAAGGTCCCCTTTCCTCTGACTTCTCCTTGAGCCAATGCAGTTCTGCTGAGGCTCTCCTGCTGTTTCTTCTGACCTACACCCTTCCTTAGTTCACTCTTCCCAGCTTTCATAAACATTCTCTCAAAATAAAGAAGTTATTTCCGATTTTTAGTGTTTCTCAGATTTTCAACTTATCTAAAAATTAAGTGCAGAGTTTGTTTCAAATGCAGATTTTCAACCCAAAATTCAAGATTTTAATTTAGTAGGACTGGGATAGAGACTAGAAATCTGCAAATTATTGACCAGCTCAGTGACTTATAAGAGATGACTATGGAATTAAGTATGTCCTTACTTCTTGCTTGAACTGGATAAATGGACGATGGGTAAAACACAGTGAACATTTTTAGGAAAATAATGTAGAATCAAGAACAAGCCAAGGTGTTTTGTCTTAGGTTAAGAGGTTCAGATCAGAAAAGCCATCCAGGATCAAACTAAAAAACCTGGGTATTAGAATCCTGAAACCACCTTTAGTTTCAGAATAGTGGAGTAATAACATAAAAGTGATTTTTAAAGAAATGCTGATTGATGGGACAAGTTGTAAAGCTGGAAAGCTACGCAGAAGGTTTAGAATGAAGTGATGAAAATGAACAGCTGGAAGGAGGTACTGACAGGAGAAAATAAAATGTCAGAAGACATATGGGTAAAAATGTTGAACTTGCTTTCAGATACCTAAAAATAGAAAGTTAATATTAAATACATTTAAAAAGTATTCATTACAAACATTATAACTACAGCAACAACAAGAATAATAAAAATAAAATAATCTTCAACTTGGTTTTTCAGTTCATTACTTGCATGATTCTTGAAACTCCATAGGAGCTCAACAGCAGTTTGTATTGCCTGCAGGGATTATTGAAGAGAGGTATTAGTGTCCTAAGTCAACATCAGTTCGTCAGTCAGTACAAACTAAAAACAGGCATCTACCATCTTTTGTAAGGTGCACAAAGTAATATTCCCATTCTGTAACAGTTTTATTTATATTCCTCATTCACTGTTTCAACCCATTTTGATTTATTGTCAATAATGATACCAAGATTCACAATCAAGATAGAACACCTACTTCTCCAAAACTACAAATCAGACATTGAGGATAAAATGCTAAAGGTGTGCTACAAGGAATAGTTCTGGTGGGGGGAGTGGGTAGGAGCAAAAAAGTCAGACAAGGCTTCAAGGAAGATGGAGTTTCAATGGGCTTGAAGGACAGATGGGATCTATAGATATGGAAAATATAAAGTATGGAAAAAGGAAAGAAAAGGCATTTCACTCAAAAATATCAATTTCTTTCATGTCAGAAACTAAAAAATTTGTCAGTTCATAAAAATGTTTAATTTGCTAAATGCTCTAAAAGCAAATCCAAAGGAAGATGACACTTCTATGCATCCTCATTTCTTACCTTCTTTTAGTGGGGTTTTCGGAACAAAATTTTCTTTACTTTCATGAAGAAAAGCCTTTGAAGGATCAAAGCGTCTGATGCCCAGAACTTTATTCAACTCTTCCTGAAGGTTTCTCTCACTTTGCTTTATTTTAGCAAGCTGAGAACGGAGTTTTGACAGCTCCTTTGTAAAAAAAAAAAAAAAGAAAAAAAAGACAATAAACAATTATTTAAGGTCACATTGGTAAAATGTGGAAACCAACGTTACTGAAAAATTCCAAAGTCCCTCAGATATCAAACCAAATGGCAAAAATCACTATTAGATAAAGGCTTTAAGACTATGGAGTTAGTCCGGTTGGCGGGACTCCATTGGTTGAGCATCGTCCTATGCACCCAAAGGTTGCTGGTTCTTTTCCTGGTCAGGGCACATACCCAAGTTGCAGGCTCCATCCCTTGTAGGTTGTTGTGCAGGAAGTAGCTGATCAATGTTTCACTCCCACACCAATGTTTCTCTCCCTTCCCCTGTCTCTAAAATTCAGTAATAAATGCCAACACCAACTTCCAGCATGAGGACCTGAGGGGCTCCACTGACCTGCTTTCTAGTGAAGCTAACCATCAAGAAAAAGGCAGGAAGTATTTTAGTGGTGGGAGGGAGGACTGGATGAGAAGATAGGGAGATAATAACTAAAGGATAAGGGGTTTCATTTTGAGGTAATAAAAATGTTCTAAAATTGACTATGGTGATTGATGGCTGTAGCGATCTGTACATATACTAAAAACCACTGAGTTGTACACATTAATGGTGTGTGAGTTATATTTCAATAAGGCTGTTAAAAAACTTAAATATCTAACTAGTTTTGAACACTGCCTATCTTTATAGTATTTACTTACATCAAGGATTTTTCTGCTTTACAAATAGAAATGGATATGAAACCTTTCTGAATTTTTCCAATCATTTTTTAGGGAGAATGGAAGAGAGGGGAAAAGACAGAGAAAAATATTGATGTCAGAGAGACACATGATTTGTTGCCTCCCACACATGCTCCAACCAAGGCTAGGAACCGAGTCTGCAATGGAGGTATGTGCCCTTCACCAGAATCGAACCCGCAACCCTTCAGTTTGTGGGGCAACACTAACCACTGAGCCAAATCAGATAGGGCTCTAGTAATTTTAAATATACTAATGAAGTAGTTAGAAAATCTGAGAACATTACTATCCATCTGGTCAACACTCTAAAAGAAAATAAATCCTTACTTGTTAGATGGATTATCACTTTTTTCTGATACCAAAGTTCTTCATTTTACTTACATGTTATAAATAGAATAAAAAATACCCCATCCCAATATCTTCAGTAGGAGTGTGTTATTTTACAAACCGATTTGAGTTGGCTATTTTCATCTTTCAATTTCACAACATGCTTGATTTTTTGCTTGAGATTCTGATGGCCCAACAATTTAGCATAGGAATCTCTTAGTTTATTTAGCTGGTCCTGAGCTGCACCATGTTCATTCAACAAAGCCTGTTTCTCTGCCTCAAAAGCATCCAGTTGTAGCTGAAAAATAGTGTTGTTGTTTGTTTTTTAATATAAAGTTAAGACTTAAAATTCTTAAACTTTACTTGTCTATATAAACTATATACAAGACAAAGTTACAAGAAAATGAACAAAAACAAATTTTGTTGACATATTCTCAGAGCTCTCCATAAATGAGACTTTTTAAAAAAATTTAGTGTTTTTCATTTCAAAGATCATAAAAACAGAAAGAAACAAGAAGTCTAGACTGGCCAGGCTAATTTTTATCATCTGGATCATATTATAACCAGAACTCCTAATGTACCAAAGTGCCAAGATTAGCATTTATTCTTTGGCCATGTTAAGATCTGTATGTTAATTTGAGATACATTGAGAAAGATCACAACAAAATAATTATCACAATTTTACATAGATTAATGATCAAAAAACCTTCTATGCTATTAACTTTAAGTCTCTTACTAGGAGGTATATTCTAGACTATAAAAGCTTTATTAAAAAAATGTATGCATAATAATTTGACAACATTTATAAGCCTTCTTTAATAGGAAATTAAATTGGCACTAGATGCACAGCAAAATGGTCTTTCAGAAAAACCAAGCGCTGTCCTGTCCTGACAAAGCGAATAACTAAAACAAACATGAGTAAGCTTAGTCCTACTTAACACACCTGAAAAGGCTTTGTTTTATTATATAGTTCTTCATAAAGGAGACGCCACTTATTCATTTCCTCAGTTAATTCTGCCATTGTATTTTCTTTTCCAGCTTTCCTGTAACAGAAAATTAAATTAAAGATATAAAGTATTCAAAAAAAATGGACTGAGGTGTGTGGTATCCGGGTTCAGAAGTGGGATTACCTTGCTTCTTTCTCTTCCAGCTGCTGCTTGAAGTCTTCCCCTTGCTGCTTGAGCTGGTTCTCCAAATCACTTATTTTTTTGAGAGAAGAAACTGTGATTTCTTTAATTTCTGTTTCTTTAAGTGTTGCTCTGGTCTGCAGATCTAGAAGCATCCTTGGGTTTGAGAGAGAAGAGTCCACTAAACATTTTACGGCCATTTTAATTCTCTTTTTGTTCTTTTCCATTATTATTATTTTTTAATTTAAGGACCTTCTTGAGAACTTTATATTTTTAAATAAATTCTTTTTTAAAGTATATCTTTTATTATTGATTTCAGAGGAAGGGAGAGGGAGAGAGAAACAGCAACATCAATGGTGAGAGAGAACCATGGATTAGCTGCCTCCTGCACACCCCACACTAGAGCTCAGGCCTGAAACCTGGGCATGTACCTTGACTGGGAGTCCAACAGTGATCTCCTGGTTCATAGGTCAATGCTCAACCATTGAGCCAGGCCAGCTGGGCTTAACTAAATTCTTCATTTGCAATTTGAGATCGCACAAAGCAAGCCATGAAATGAACTATAACTCCTCCTTGCATACTTGGTAGCTGGCTTTCACAACATTGTCCTATGGTTTGAGGGCCACAAGTATGGTTTTATTTTTACTACATACCTTGCATATTCTTGGTTTGAATTCTTAGTTGCCAATATCTGATGCTGAAGATCCTCTGCACTTTTCTCGGCCTTGGCCACTTTTTCCTTAAGTGATGAGTTCTCCAGCTTAAGATCTTCTGTCTCACAAGCTGTTAATACTTTATAGCTTATTAACAAGAAGAATAAGTTAACATATACATGACAAATATGTAGCTAATGAATTTATAGTTTATAAAATTTTAGGTAAAACAAGAAAAAAATCTCAGTATCTATGTATGCACGTATACAAGTAAGAATTCAATGTTCTGAGGTCAGTGCTAATGAGCTTATATTGCATAGGCTTTTCATTCAAATAAAAAAATTCAGTGACTACTATGTGTAGGAAGTACACATATAGAGATTAAAAATATCAACTACCAAACAGGAAAATTACTCTAAAACAAAAATTCTACAATCCCTGCACTTTCTGTCAGAGTTTATGGTCTTGTGGGGAAGAGAGAAAAATGCCTCACCAGGTTTTCCCAAAATATTTGAAAAAATATGTATATAATTAAATTTGTGGTAAGAGTTATGAAGAAGAACTACAGAACTCCTTAAGCTAATACAACAGAGTACCCTACCTTTTGGTTGATGATTCAGAAGAGTCCTGAGGAATTCAGTTAAGCTGAGACATGATGGATAAGGAAGATTTTGCCAGGCAGTTAGGACGAAGTATTTCAGAGAGAAAAGATGCTCAGAGACAGGTAGACTATAGTGCATGAAAAGATGAGACTGCAGTGCTACTAAAATTGGAATAATACAGAGAAGATTAGCACCCCTGAGTGAGGATGGAACAAATTCCATATTTTAAAGCAAAACACAAAACAGAAAGAAAAAAGATAAGCCTGGAGCCTAATAAATGAAGCAAGGGCAGAAGCTAGAGTGGACTGAGGCCATTCATCACTGCAGAGCACCATGGGGTTACCTGAGGTCTCTACATGTGTGGACTACTCTGGAGACATGTGGAGAATGGCCTGGGCAAGGTGCAGGGGTGCCACGTTGGAAGAGTTAAATAAAAGACAATTATCAGTCCCAGTGAGTGGAAAAGGCTTTAACAAAGGAGCTGACAATGGAAAGATGTGAGATCTCTTTTGGAGGCAGAATTTCAAAATTCCAGAAATAGATTAGGTGTTAGGAGAAAGGAAGAGAAAAATGATCAAAGATGACACTAAGATTTATGGAGTGAGAAGTTAGTAAGATGTTACTGACAGATAAGAAGAATGAGACTAGAGGTAGAATAGAGAGAAGAGTTGTTTTAGACACATTACTACTGGAAGATAGTCAGGTATCTACTTGGAGATGTCAAGTAGGCAGCTGAGTAGGTGGGTACAAAGCTGAATGGAGACGTATGATCTGAAGAAATAAGCTTTAATGGCATTAGCATAGTGATGGTGAGTGGATTCATGGAATGGCTAAGGCACTATCTTTCAAAATAGCAGGAGGGGAAATCCCTTTTCAGGATTGAGAACAGCACTAAAAATCGCCTAATACAAAATTTATATAATTTATATTTCTGCTATGACAGAAAAATTATAATTAAAATAGATACATATACATGATAAGTGTGTGAATATGTGTATTACATATATCACATGAAGGAGATCACTAGGAAAGAAGGTACTATTCAATGAACAGACAATAGGCAATTCATTATCCACATGGAAAAACAAAAATAAATTTGATCCCAATATCACTACACACAAAAATCAGTTCTAGGTGAAAAAGTGAAAAGAGAAACTGAAACATTTAGAAGAAAAATAGGTGACTCTCTTTATGTTCACTGGGGCAGAAAGAAGTTCTTCAATGAGATGCAAAAGTGTACACAAAAGAATCTACAAACCCAGCCACATTAAAATCAAAGGGAAATTCCTATACATACTAAGACTAACATGCAACACTAAATGCCCATTTATGGTTGGTCACTATGGAATTTAAAGTGATACCAATAATTTTATTTGTGCAATTGATTTTGTTGTCCAGTTTTCCCTAAGTACCCCTCCCTGCTCTTATTATGTTAGCAAGTACAGGCACCCAATAAAAATACCTTTCAAATTGAGCTTTAACACCTCCCAGGTTTTGCTCTGCAGTATTACACCTTTCCTGCAAAAGCAGGGTGGCCTGAGTGTGAGCGGCATTACTTCTCTCCAGTTCCGCTTCTTTCCTAAGAAAAAAGGAACAAAGAAAAGATAAGCTACTAGCTACAAATCATTGCACTAAGAAAGAGGTGAGTATTTACCTTTGAATCCCAAACCTTCCTGTTTACATCAGCTAGTGAATACCTTAGGTGAAAATTTATGGACTACTACACTAGTATCTTTTCTGTTCTTTTTTTTTACATTGTTTTCATCTTCATTTACTTACTTGCACATTTATCTTTTTATATCACATGTGTGTATGTATGTAGTTTTTGGGAAAATAAGATAAAAAGACTCAAATAGAATCATAATAGCAAAAGCTAAGAATGTGAAGAATTACTAGTTAGAAAGCATTTGTACTGAATAAAATTTAATTTCTATGTATAGACATTTAAGAAATACTTAGCACAATTAAAGATACTTTGTTTTAAAAGATATAGGATTATGTAATTTATTTTGATTGTATCAATAATCCACATTATAAATTGTTCTTTGAAGACTCAAAAACTTATTAAATAACATGTATTACAAAATTATATAATTTTTAGATATGCTTATGAGCTTATGAGATCTTTTAAAGAATATTTGGAACTAAAAACTATAAGTAAGAAGCATTATTTGCTTATAGATTAAGTTTGACACTGAGACAAGATAACAGGTGGTCGAATTCATTCTGTAATGAGTAGGAGACTTAAAAAAAATATACACACAGCAGCTATTGTAAAAGCAGTCAAATCACACTAATGGATTTTAAACAAAATATTACCTTTCCTGCCCCCTAGAGGAATCACTTTCAACTATCTTAGTTTTTCTTTTTAGCATAAAATTTCAAGGCTGGAATAGATGAACCACAGAAACAAACTCAAAAAACTATTTTAAATATAATGAAATAGAAAATTATGGAGATTAAGATTATCTTGCTCATAGTCACCCGACTAGTAGCAAAATATTTATCTCCTGACCTCTGGACAATTCTATGACTCAGAATACATGATTATGTCAACTTTCTGAATATGAAATCATCTACTCAGGCACTTAAAGCACCTGCCCCGAGACTGGCTGGAATATAGAACAAAGCCCTAATTACATTTGGTACTGCTCCTGCCAAAGCAGTTATATATAAAACCTTGGTGTGCTTTTTAAAACTTTACATATTTATTTTACTTTATTTATTTTTTATAAATATATTTTATTGATTTTGTACAGAGAAGAAGAGAGATAGAGTATTAGAAACATCGATGAGAGAGAGTCATTGATCAGCTGCCTCTTGCACACCCCGTACTGGGGATGTGCCTGTAACCCAGGTATATGCCCTTGACCGGAATCGATCCTGGGACCCTTCAGTCCACAGGCTGATGCTCCATCTATTGAGCCAAACCGGTTTCGGCTAATCTGGACATTTTAAGTAAATGTAGTGGAGGACACATAACATGATGAAAGCAATATGGAACTAGAGTGAAAAAGAAAGCATGAGATCTCAGTCTTTCTATTTCTAATAATACATTTATTTTTTTAAAATATATATATGTTGTTATTTATTTCAGAGAGACTAAAAAAGAGGGAGAGATATATAGAAACATCAATGAGGAGAATCATTGATCAGATGCCTCCTGCACCCCCCAAACTGGGGATCGAGCCCGCAACCCTGGCCATGTGTCCTGATCCAGAATGGAATTGTGAACTCCTGGTTATCAGGTTGACATCCAGCCACTGAGCCACACCGGCTGGCCATTTCTTATTTTTAATGTTTCCCAGTTCTAGTTATTTTTCCCCCCATTTTGCTTTTTTTTTTTTTTAAAAAAAAAACCAAAAAACAAAACAAAACACACATATTTTTATTTATTTCATCATGAAATAAATAAAATAAATGGAGAGGGAGAGAGAGAAACATCAATGATGAGAGAGAATCAGATTGGTTGCCTCCCGCACGCCACCTATTGGGGATGGAGCCCACAACCTGGGCATGTGCCCTTGACTGGAATTGAACTCTGGACCATTCAATCTCCAGACCGATGCTCTATCCACTGAGCCAAACCAGCCAGGGCCCCATTTTGCTTTTTGATTGTTATTTTTGAAGTGTTTGTACTCCCTCAAAACAGGTAATTAAAAATATAACTCACATTATGTAAATTGATGTACACATATACAAAAATGGAATTGTGTCTTATTAAACGGTGAGAAACTTAATTTGGGGGAGTATTTTTTCTAAATCTATTATTATTTTAACATTAATGTCCTATCATTTTTAGAAAATATGAGAGTAATTATAGGATCCACAAAATTTTAGTCATTAAAAAAAAAAAGTATTCTATTGATTTTACAGAGAGGAAGGGAGAGGGAGGGAAATATCAATGAGAAACATTAATCAGCTATCTCCTGCTCGCCCCCTACTGGGGATTGAGCCAGCAACCAAGGTACATACTCTTGACCAAAATCGAACCCAGGACCCCTCAGTCCACGGGCCCACATTCCATCCACTGAGCCAAACAGGTTAGGGCTGGTCGTTTTTGAATTAAAACTCTTAAAACCACTGGCTTTAAATAAAGAAGGATTTGGCTATTATTTAGGGTCTTATCTATATATATACATCCTATGCATGTACTTTCTCCTTACTTGCAAAATAATTCTAACCTCACCCACTTGCATGATTGATATGAGAATCCTGAGAATGTACTGGCAAAATACTTTGTAAAATCTGGAATCATATGTGTAAAGTCCTATTAATACAAACCCCTTCAGTTTTTCTTCCAGAAGTTTCAGTTCTTCAGCTCTAGCTTTAGTCTCTTCTTCCAGCTGCTTAACCAACTGTTCAGATTTTTCCTCCTTTTGCTGTAATTTATCTAGCTCAGCCAGAGCTTGCTTTAATTCTTCCTCAAATAGATTCTTCTCTTTCATCATGTCCTCTTGAAAAGAACAGAGCTTCTGCTGAAGACTAGAAGATAATTCCTAGATTCAACAGAAAACCACCAACATTATTCAAAAGGTTTAAATAATTTAATAATGTGTGAGGTTTTACTAAGGACAGAAAAATGTACATGTAATGAAGTAAGAACATCAAATTCAAGATCCTCAAGGAAATTGAAAAAAAATATGAAGATATCATAGTCACTTTGTCAGGGAGTATATCCTATAACTTGTCAACATTGTGATAAATGTTACTTTAGTCTTTTTCCTATGAAACACATATACACAAACCTACTTCTTGTAAAACTAAAATTATATTCTACAACTGGCTTTTTAACATATTTTTGTCATATGACATTATATAAAAAGGACTATGATTTCAATGTTATATAAAAATATTTTAGTTATATGAGTACACACCAGTAAAAAGATAAATATAAGTAAATCATGATTGTAAAAAACTTTGACATCATCAATAAAGAAAAAATTGCCTTGACTGCTCCACACCCAAATCTTACTTTCCCCATTGCAGAGATAACCACTACTTTGATATATTTGCTTTAAGGTCTTTTCTTATTATTTATATAATACTTTTTAACATATGAAAGATAAATACTGTGTATATAAAAGTCATTTAAAAAAACACAAAAATTGTTATTGAGATTTTTAAGTTGGTATATACAGATCTACTTAATTTCTTTAGTTTTTGTAGATTCTTCAACAATATAATATTTATATAATATTGTCCAACTCTCAACAAGGGTCTTTTTTTTAATCAAATGTTTAAATTTGTGCCAATCATATAAGAGAAAAAGAAAAAGGATTTTTATTTTTTTGATTACTACTAAGGTAGAACATCTAGTAACTTTTATAGGCTCTCTAAATTTCTATTTCTAAGAATTATGTATTTCCATCCTATGCCCATTCTTTCTTAGTGGACTTTTTTCTCAAAGACATGTAAAATGTTTTTTACATAACCTGGATTATAAGAAATTTTCCCTTTTCTCATATAATATATGCTTTTTTTCAACATAACTGTAAATGCCTATGTAATACTCTAACAAGAAGAGTGTGCTGGAAAAGGTTTTTAAACAATTTCCTTATTTTGCTTCCTCTGCTGATTATAATTTTTCACATTGTCAATAATCTTGTGGTAAACATTAAAAAAGTTATTATTATTTTATTTCAGAGAAGGGAGAGAGAGCAATAGAAACATCAATGATGTGAGAGAATCACCAATTGGCTGCTTCCCGCATGCCTGCTACTGGGGATGTGCCCTGACAAGAAGTGAACTGTGACCTCCTGGTTCATACTTTGACATTCAACCCTGAGCTACACCAGCAGGGAATTAACCCTTTGCAGTTAAATCTGCTGCATAACTATAATTATTTCCTCAGGATAAAATTCTAAATATAGAATTGGTGGATCACAGGCTATATATACGATTTGAAAGTGTTCTGACCACAGGGAAATGTATGACATAAGTACTAGTTTTATTTTACATTGTAGAAAACTACCTTCTCTTGTTGCAGAAGTGAATCAATTTGCAACTCTTTTTGCTGTAGCTTTTCATGTTCTTGTTTTTCAAGAATTAACTTCTCTTTTAAGTTTTGTATTTCAGAATTCAGATGTTCATCCTGTTCTCTGTCCCTGTTGATGAGGTCTTCTAGAAAAGAGAAACGTTAACAATGCTGAACACAGATTATGGATAATAGCTTTGAACAACCCAGATCCCCATTATATTTCATTATATATACGTTCCATTAACATACACAGCATGTTAACAGAGATCAAGTATTTTCAAAGGAAAAAAAAAAAACCCTCTTCATTTATATTATATTCTACATGTCATATAATGATTCCCCACACCTACTTCTTTGTACCTACCAACTTTAAATGGCTACCAAATGGAGAAGTCAAATAATGCAAAACTGTATGTTTACAAGATAAGCAACATATTAAATAGAACATACATCATAAAAGACTAAATTCTCATAAGTAGAACAGAATCTTTTTGTTGTTTACATAGTTATTTTAAAAAGTTGTTTTTAAACATAGCAGTGCTTTTCTTAGATGCTGTATGTAGTACTTAGCTGAAGACAGTGATACTGCAAACACTTGAATACCTTTTTCTTTTTCAAGTAGCTGACATTTAGCATTCAGGTCTTTTACTTGTTCAGATAACGTAACAATATTTTCTTCAAGAGACTGCTTAAGGCTTAACACTTCACAATTCTTCTCTTTCAAATTTTCTTCTAACTGGGCAACGTCTAGCTTGTATTTTTCCACTTGATCTGAGGCACAACTGCATTAAAACAAACTATTTTGAAGAGCACATCTATTTAAGCATAGGAAAAATTAACTGAACAGAAATGAAAATGATGTATTAATCACAATTCAACAAAATGAGGCCCGATTTAAAAGCACTTTTGATATTACCTTATTTCTTCAATGTATTCCAAGAGTTTTTCAGTTTCAGATTTTTCATCAATCTTTTCTTTCTGTATTGAAACACTAAAAAAAAGGGTGTGTATATTAATACATACAATGATCACATATGGTGCTTATTCTGTACCAGATACTGCTGTATCAGGCAGGTTGATGCCAGAGTCTAAACTCTGTGACATCTCAAGTTGGCAATTTAATATATGCAAGTAGGAGACCTAAGTTTTTTTTAAGTGAGAAAGCTTTCCAAATATATACCGACAAAAGGGCCGTGATAATGAGTCATCATCTACAGCGCTCCAGGTGACAGAAATAATATTTTTTGTAGCTTTCCTGGCTTCCCCACCCACCACACATTCAAAAGAGCATCTGTATGCCATAAAGTCTTTGTTCCAGGATGCCTTAATGCAATTACTTATGTGTTTACCTCCTCCAAACACCGCAATTTAAGCAAAGGGCAAAAGACTTAAATACCTTACAAAAGAATATACATGAATGATCTATTATAAAAATATAATCGACATTAATAGCATATAAATTAAAATCACAAATGAGATACTACTTCACAGGTACTGCAAGGGCTGAAATCGCACTAACATCAAATGTTGGTGAGGGTGTGGAACCACTGAAACTATGATACATTGCTAACTGTGTAAAATGGAGTGTAAAATGGTTCATCTGCTTTGAGTTTTTGAAAATGTTATAGATATATGCTGTGACCCAGGAATTCCATTCTTATTTACTCAAGAGAAATAAAAGCATATGTCCACAAAGGGCATATATATAGCCGTCTCATTCATAATAGTCAGAAACTGGAAATCCAAATGTCGATCAACAGGAGAACAGTAAACAGATGGAGGCTTATAAACACATGCCTACAATAATAAATGTGCCCCCCCCCCCAAGCCAAACTAATTTATGACAATGGAAGTCAGAGAGTGGCTGCGGGGTGGGGGGCATTACCCAGGGAGGAGCAGGAACAGCAGGCATGGAAGAACTTTGTGAAGGGATGGCAGTATTCTCTACCATATTCGGGTGGTGGTTATTCAGGTACATACAACTGTCAAGAGTCATCAAACTGACTACTTGTGATCTGTGTATTTTATTGTATGTCAGTGAGAGGCTAGAACTGTGCATTAATCACAGGCTCCCATACCAGTGCTTCTCAATTTGGGTCAACTTGACCACTACCACAAGTTTAGGCTATTAGAAAGCCTTTGAGGTCTCTCCTCATCACTGATACAGAAGATGTACGCAAGTAATAATAGTCGTTTATCTTTTCAACCTAAACTGTTTGGGAATGAGTAAGTCTCAATTATCACTTGGGAAAAGAAATAAGGCAACGAGAGGAAGGCCCTGAGGTAAGTACTGTGGGAAGGTTAACATCCCAGAAAGAAAAGCAGATGAGAGCAGTGGATCCGGAATGAACGCTTTCCTTTAGGCACTCACAGTTTCCCCTCGAGCTGTGCTACTTTCCCTTGAGACTCTTCCAAGTTCTTCTGGGTGACATGCAATTTCACCTCCATGCCTTGTTGTTTAGCCATCATACTCTACACAACAGAAACATGTTGCAGGAAATAAGAAACCGTTCAGACCTGCAGAACCAGACCCAGCACACTCAGCAAAGGCGTCACTCACCCTCATCTTAGCTTCTCTTTTGTTTCTAAGCTTCATCAGCTCAAGGCTTAGAATCCTCAGGTTCTTCTGGTTGCTATCTTCTGAAAACTAAGTACAACAAACATGGAAAAGATTCAGAAATATTTTCTGTTAAATTATATAACAAATCCCTGACGTATTGATTAATATTGATTAGTACCAGTTGCTGGGACTGTGATTTGCCTGCAGTATATTCTGACAGAGCAAACAGCCTTTGATGAACCAGGATTACTATTCACACTATTGTTCTTGTCCCTCCTTCTCCTTCATGTGACTTTCTGGTTTATTTCTGAAAGTAGTTTGGGTGGTCACCTACCTCTATATATTGGCAAGTTCTTTGCAAGGCTCTAATAAAAATTTCTTGGAGAGGATTTCATAAAGGGTGTTTGCTTAACAAAAATGCATTTAAATTGCCTGGTTTGCTTTGAAACATGTGAGGGGTACAGAGCCCATCCAAGGCCAACTACATCAGATCTCCATGGATGGGGCCCGGGAATCTGTTCCCATGGTTAGTTCCTATGCAGTCTCCAGCACATAGGCCGCGAATAAATGACTCTGAAACTCAACAGTGAGTTTCAGCTTCCTTCTACTTCTGTAAAAAGCGAAATGACTATGCTAAGACCTATTAGTACTGATAAACACAATTCACTGATTGAACATATTGATTCATTTTGCACTTTACTCCCAAGAGGATTTGAGATGGAAGCAGGCTATCATACTACTCATTGTTTCAAAGGGAGATCTTTAAAGTAACTTCTAGATGTAAATGCTGCAACTTTGGTTAATGTTCTTATTTCTGGAGGTTCACTTTGAAAGAGGAAGAGAAAATGTCAGGCATTAAAACAAAAAGTAACATGTTTGTTTATAAATTCTTATGTGCCAGGCAACATAATAAAAAAGATACTATAATGATTTTTACTGGAAGCAGCTTAATATTTAAGGTACATTTAGAGAAGGAAAAAAGACTAAATTAGAGTCTAAAATTCCCCCCAAAAAATAGTGTATGAGAAAAAACATGTTTATTATTTATCCAGTTGTCAATCTTGCGGTCCACATACCTTAGATTTGAGTAGCTCATTAGTTCTGGTTAACTCAGTCAGCTGCTTTTCCAGCGTAGCATTGCTTGCAGAGAGAGATGTTTTTTCCCTGACCGCAGCGCTGAGCTTTGCTTCCGTCTTCTCCAGCTCAGCTTCCAGATCCTGGAGCCGCTTGTCCTGAGTCCCGCGTTCCTGCAGGAGGACGCGAATCTGGGTGGAGACAGGTGAGGAAGGAAGGATACACAAACACAATGCCAGTGTAACTACCTGCTACGGACCAGTAAAACATTCAAGCTCCAGGAAAATCTCTTACTGTGACACCATGCTCTGCGTGAACAATCACATTTAACTTATGACACATTTTAAAAATCTGTAAGCATTGCCTGGCCACTGTGGCTCAGTGGCTGAGTGTCAAACCATGAGTCAATTCTCAGTTCAATGCAAGAGGCAGCTGATTAATGTTTCTCTCTCTCTCTCTCTCTCCCTTCCTCTCTTAGTATAAAGTAAAAACAAAAAACAAAAAACACTTTTTTTTTTTAAAAAGGTCATTTCAGGAGGAAGACATAGGCTTCAATTTGTTGTGCACTTATATAACTTCAAAATTTAAATAGCACATACTGACAGACGTAAAAGGGAAACAGATGAATTCACAGAACTAAAATTTTAAAAATACCTCTCTTAGAAATTAATAGAATAATAACAGTATAAATATTTGAACGGGACTATTAACCACCTTGAACTGACATATATAGACTACTATACCTAACGAGTGCATACATATTTTTTTTAGTGCACAGAAAACATTTACCAAACTAGACTCTTTGCTTGGTATGAAAGTAACAAGAAAGCATAGCTGTAGTAAGTCACATGAAAAATATTTTATATTCTTACTGGCTTTGTATTTATATCAATCTCAGTATTTTAAGCCAACACTGCTTAACTAAAAATGTATTAAGCATCACTTATGAGAACTAGAGGCTAGGGACTGACTAGACTTTGAGAGTCCCTACCATAAGATTCGCAGTGCTTACATTATTGTTTATAACTGGTGTTTTCAGCATAGTATTATACAGTCGAAAAACAAACACTGAGATAATCTATATCACACTTTTTGCAGCTAAAGAAGCTTAAGTTAAGACAAAAAAAGGGTTTGTAAACTCAAATAGCTACGTGGCTAAACACAAAACATGAACAAGTAAAGAGAGCCAGGTGAGGGTTGAAGAGCAAATGCGGGGCATCTAAAGAGGCAGCCCTGCACAGGCCAGGAGGGGAATGTGGGAAGTGTTTTCAGATCTGCTTTTGGAAGAGAAGGCGAAAATCTGAATTTGTTTTGCATGAAACTTTCCATTTAAATACTGACAACCAATTCAAGTTAAAAAAAACAACAGCAAATATTTTTGGGCTTAAATAGAGCTCTATTTGCTAAAAATCTCCATTTTAAAAGATTATCTGACCCAAATGACCAGTTCTAATCCTGGAACTACCACTTGCCTACTATCTAAGTGAGATTCACCTATTACTGCTCCCCCTCCTCCATTCATCCTTTTTCATGTATCCTCAATAAAATGATAGCTGCAAGGCTGATGTGACTCAGGGGTTGAGTGATGACCTATGAGCCTGGAGGTCACAGTTCAATTCCAGGTCAGGGCATAAGCCCCCGTTGCAGGATCGATCCCCAGTGGGGGGCCTGCAGGAGGCAGCCAATCAATGATTCTCTCTCATCATTGATGTTTCTATCTCTCCCTCTCCCTTCCTCTCTGAAATCAATAAATTAAAACATAAAATAAAATAAAAAATAATAAAGTGATAGCCAATATTATTAAAAATAAATACAAAAGAATCAGATTAAACAGGGCTGAGATTTGCAAAGTTACCTTGATATATTCTAAACCAAAATTTTACTGTAATCAACAAAAAGTTTTAATGTATCAAAAAGAATATGTCCACCAGAAAGAGTCAGTAATGGAAACATGGATAAATTACTGGCAGAAAAGCGGAGCTGGCAGTGACCAGCTTAGCCCTGATTAGGGAAGTGAGTGGGTTCTTTAGGTCAGCTCAGCTCAATAGGAACTTCTGCCATGGTGGAGATGCACTGCCCAGTATGGTATCCTTCCCTCACATGGGGCTATTGGACACTTGAACTGTGACTAGTGCAACTGAAGAACTGAGGTGTTAATTTAATTTCTTTAAATAGTAGCATGTGGTAAGTAAATACCATGTAACAGGGCAGCCCTAACTCATTTTATGATTGAGGGAGGCCTATATCACTGGTGCAGAGGAATGCATCAGATTACCAGCACTCTATCACAATTCAACTAGCTTGCTAGAATTTTATGCTCACTAAGCAATTCCCTAGTTAGTCATTGTCTTAACATGCAGAGTAGAGTACAGGAAAAGTAAATGTAAATACTGCATCTACATATAATTGTAGAAAACCAACATTTTGATTTTTTGTTATCATTTTTTCATTAAATGGGTTATCCTGAAGCTGTCCCTCAGTAAGCTAACAACTTGATTTTTCCAGCATCCCACACAGACACCCAGGTTCTGATATAGGGTGCCTAAGCCAAGGGATGATTACCCTGTAGGCACTGGTCTGATCCAGTGTGACTCCTCAAACTACAACAGAATCCCTGTCTCTTAATTCTATGTAATTCTCTTTCCATTATACACAGCACATTTATTTTTTATTTCTCAAGAAGTGAAAAGCATTGCTTACCTCTTTTTCCAACATCTTCAAGTCTTTATCATTCTTTTGAGAATCCTTCTATTTAAAAGTCAAAGAATAGTGATGGTCAAATTTTAGTGCCACAATCATCATAGCTGAATTTTATTTTGAGTTATCAGAAAAGATTAAGGATTCCAAACAGTTAATTTATATTTTAAAATTTCCCCTGAGTCTATTAAACACTTTGTAGGTGACTTAGTAAATGAGGGAAAAGGTTCTTTAAATCTCAAAATATTTCAGGCTTAAAAGTTTTAATCTCAATCAAATTAGATTTTTTTTTTTCCCTTAAAAAGCCCAGGGATGCCCTACTGGTTTGCCTCAGTGGATAGCACATTGGCCTGTGGACAGAAAGGTTCAATTCCGGTCAAGGGCATGCACCTTGGTTGAGGGCACATCCCCAGTAGGGGGTGTGCAAGAGGCAGATGATTGATATTTATCTCTCATCGATGTTTCTAATTCTCTATCCCTCTCCCTTCCTCTCTGTAAAAAATCAATCTATATATATATATATATATATATATATATATATATATATATATATATATATAATTTTTTTAAAAGTCCAGTGAAAAAGAACAGAGGAGCTTTATGAATAAAACTACTAACTGCTTCTTTCTAATGTTAATCAGCAATACGGTTTGAATTTTTAATTATGCTATCTCATAAAGAAAAGAAATTTAGAAAGAGAAATCAACTTAAACTTACAGACCCAAAGAGGGGGGAAAATTCAAAGAAATAAAGACAAACTGAAATGGTACAGTTCATAAAACGAGTAGAACATAAGATCACCTCACCTTTAATCCCAAAGTCTTAACTTTTCTTGCTGAAGCAGGCAAGGTGGTATCTTTGTCAACAGTAAGATTTTGTTGAGATTCTGCAATAAATTGTACCACAGACAAAACACAATTTCAAAATTTCTTATTGCAACTATCAGTGAAGCAATATAATGTTATTCTTTTCTTGGCTGTATATTTCTAAATAATTAGTTGCACAATATATTTTAAACATCTCACATTTTTCTGATTTTCCTAATATTCCCTGACAGAAGGCTAAGATAATTAACAAAAAGGGAAACGAGCCCTAGTTGGTTTGGCTCAGTGGATAGAGCGTCAGCCTGTGGATTGAAGGATCCCAGGTTCGATTCCCCTCAAGGGCACATGCCAAGGTTGCTGGCTTGATCCTCAGTAGAAGGCATGCACAAGGCAGCCAATCAATGATTTTCTTGATCATTGATGTTTCTATTTCTCTTTCCCTCTCTCTTCCTCTCTGAAATCAATAAAAATATATTTTTTTTAAAAAGGGAAAGGACATATTTACGTTGAGTGTTTTGTACAATTTTCCTGATTATACAATAGTGTAATGATAAAAGCATTATTCTGTAGTTGGCTCTCATAAATCCATCAAATACAAACTTATTATTTTTCAAATACAAAAATTTAACCATACCTTTTAATTTCACATTTTTAGAAATACCATAACAGCTTTAAATGTATGTACTATTATTCATAACTTTAAAACTTATGAGATCATATAACCATCATTTTAGTATTTTGGGATTCAGTACCTTTTTGTTTTTTAAATCTTTGTGATTTCTGAAAGGAAACTGGTCCTTTCAATACTTCTGAAGTCTTCACATCATAAGCACCTGGAGATGGTGCACAACCTAGAGGAAACAGAAAACATTAATGATTCTTCTAATGTCATTTAGAATCCTAAGTTAAAACATGCAAAGTAAAGTGAGTAATATAAATGTAAAAAATGCTATAAATACACTTGGTTCTTTCAAATGTAAAAATAGCACCGTTTTGATCTGAGGAACAATATCAAGTTCCCAAATGCCCTTTATTTCACTTGGGTTAAAGGAATACATGTAACTGAGCAAAACAGCAAAGACAGTCTTGGGATGAACATTATGAAAGAATAAGCAACATGGTTTTCTTTCTTTCTTTTTTTTTAATTTAATATATTTTATTGATTTTGTACAGAGAGGAAGGGAGAGATAGAGAGTTAGAAACATCGATGAGAGAGAGTCATCGACGAGCTGCCTCTTGCACAACCCCCTCCGGGGATATGCCCGCAACCAAGGTACATGCCCTTGACTGGAATCGAACCCGGGTCCCTTCAGTCCCCAAGCCGACGCTCTATCCATTGAGCCAAACCGGTCTCGGCATGGTTTTCTTTTTAAGGATTGACTAGAAAGAATAATATATTTGGAATCAATGCTACTCAGAGTCTCTGAGGTTAACTTTCATCAGATTCTAGAAATGAAGCAAATAAAAGTGTCAAGCCCTCAAGAGTTAGCCTGGGAAAAAAAAAAATGTAGCATGACAATTCATCTCTGCCTAATATCAATACATCAAAAAATTTGTAATGCCATAGACTATATTTCTATGTCTCAGACATTTATATTTTATAACCTCATGTAAGTAAACTAAGTCCCAAATTAAAGGCATTTCAGAGTGCTTATGCATAGTAAATATAAGATCTGGCTCTCAGGACTCACAATAACAAAAATGTCATTAGCACAAAGTTTTAGCTGATTGGAAATCAATGGCGTTATACTATGTTATACTATTCTCTCTCTTTATGTGTGTGTGTGTGTGTGTGTGTGTGTGTATGTGTATATATATATATTTTTTTTTTAATTGATTTTTTTACAGAGAAGAGGGGAGAGGTATAGACAGTTGGAAATATCAATGAGAGAGAAACATTGATTAGCTGCCTCCTGCACACTCCCTACTGGGGATATGCCTCCAACCAAGGCACATGCCCTTAACAGGAATCAAACCTGGGACCCTTCAGTCTGCAGGCCCACCGTCTATCCACTGAGCCAAATCAGTTCGAGAGTAAATACCTTTTATGACCACTCATTGGATAAGCTCCTGTATGCCACCACTTGGTAACTTGGGTTATAAGAATCCAAGAAGTTGATCTAGGGCACATGTGTCAAACACAAGGCCCGCGGGCCAAATCCGTCCCGCCAGGCCTTGCAATGTGGCCCGCACCGCGCTGTCATCACTGCACTCCGCTGCGTTTCCATCACAATGACAGTTTATGACTGTTCAGTAAACCATTCGGCCCGCGATTTAGGCTGGATTTTAGATTTTGGCCCCTTCTCTGATTGAGTTCGACACCCCTAATCTAGGGTTTTTCCACCTCACTCCTGGAGGAAAAAACGAAGGTCCACTGCTGGAGGGGCTAAGAAATGTCATATCCTGCCCTAGCTGGTTTGGCTCAGTGGATAGAGCCTCGGCCTGCTGATCACAGGGTCTGTGTTCGATTCTGACCAAGGGCATGTACCTAGGTTGCAGGCTCCTTCCTGGCTGGAGCCCAGATAAGGGTTCATGCCGGAGGCAACCAATCAAAGTGTTCCTCTCACATTGATGCTTCTCTGTCTTTCTTTGCTCTCTAAAAATCAATGGAAACATATCCTCAGGTGAGGGAAGGAAGGAAGGAAGGAAGGAAGGAAGGAAGGAAAGAAGGAAGGAAGGAAGGAAGGAAGGAAGGAAGGAAGGAAGGAAGGAAGGAAGGAAAGAAGGAAGGAAGGAAGGGAGGAAGGAAAGAAGGAAGGAAGGAAGGAAGGAAGGAAGGAAGGAAGGAAGGAAGGAAGGAAGGAAGGAAGGAAGGAAGGAAAGAAGGAAGGAAGGAAGGGAGGGAAAGGAAAAAAGAAAGTAGCACATCTCCTGAGGGTTCCATCTGTGAGAGGGGGCAGGCTGAGCTGAGGGAACCCCCCACTGTGTGCAAATTTTTGTGCAGGGGGTCACTAGTTTGAATAATAAATGGGGCTTATTAACTAAAATAACATCAACAAACAAGGACAGGGGGAGGTGGGGATCAGAAAGGCATTTCAAAGAGAGGAATGTCATTCCTGGAATCCAGGCTGAGCAGAGGCAGGCTTTTGGGTTAAGGGTAAGTTAAGAATCTCAAGAGTGGCTCACACTAAATGTTATACTATTCTCTGAAAAGCTATTTACTTCCGAGTTTCATGCAAATAAATAGGAACAGCAGGAGTTTGACAATCACAAAGCAACTCCTCCTATCCCCTAAGTGTTTTTCAAATGGGATGATAAAAGCTCATCGGTATATCTTCACTAGCATTTTTTAAAAAGTGAAACAATAGAAAATATCCCTGTGACTCACACAGCAAATTTTTCTCTGAAACCAAAAATATATTAAAAAACCCACACAATAATTGGAAGCTAACACAGGCAGTTAGGCAATGCGTTTATATACACATAAACATTCTATACACTGCATTCAATTCTTTTTCTTCCATCTAGGATGGCTAGTTCACCTTCCATTTTGCCTAGCTAACTCTCACTTATCCTTCAGATCTCAGCCTGATTCATCTTTAACTGTTTCCTCTGAATCCTCCAATCAGGTTATAACCACCACATAGCAGCCTGTGTGTATCATTTCTATCATTGAACTCCCCAGTTTTGCAAAAAGGTGTATGTACTTATATAGCGTACTTATCCACTTCCCCACATTAGACAATGTACTATCCATCTCCCTCATCAGGCTTACTGTTTGGAGGTAGACACTGTCTTAATCATGACTGTATCCCCAGGATTTAGCTCAGGGTGGAGATAAGCAGTGTGGTGAATACACAGAAAATCACTAGGGATGTGGTAAAAGGAAGAGAATTTTGCCATCAGCCAGATTAGGATTCAAATCCAACTTTGCCTGCCAATCCATGGACATTACTATGTGCCAGATACAGTGCAGTCATTGGGAGAAGATGGTGAATAAGAACATTTACATTTTCATATTGTCTTACAGAGATTAAAGACAGTGACCATTAAGTGTATGTTATAATGGATAAATCATGGTTCAGCTGTAACACAGGCTGCTCGGTACAGTTACAAAAACCCTCAGTTTCCTCATCTGTAAAGTAAGGACAGTATCAGCACCTTCCTCATTTGGCTGTTGGAAAAAATAAACCAGATCTAGGAGGAAAATCTTAGCACAGTCCCTGCATAAAGTTCGCCTGTCACAAATGATGGTCTTACCAACCACATGCAAGGTTTTCTGGTTCTTGTACTTCGGCCCTGCAGTGGTTAAGAGCACAGGATGGAATTCAAGGAGGCCCGGTTTGGTTGTGTAACGCAGGACGTTTTATTAGTAACATAATGAATAGGATCAACTCTCCGGGATGTTGGGGAATTAAAACAGAACTAATAATCTGTGTAAAGACCGTCCATATTAACTGCCATTCCTTCATTTATAGTGTTTCTGATACTCCCACAATTTTACCACCACAAACTGCCTTTAGCAGCCCTCTTTCCTTTATGCCTGAATGGAACACCCAAAAAGAAATCCACACGGACAGACAAAATAGCATGGCCAGGTGTTTGTTTGTTTTTAACCGCAGCTTCCACACTGGACCATCCAATAGCTACCCACGCTTTCTCACACCTATTCTTCCTCTCTGATTCAGGGTCCACACAGCCCTGTTTATAGGCTGTATTCTCTCCAACGGGGCGGAAGCTCCGTGGGGCAGACACCTTGCGTCGCTCACTGCTATATTCTTACTATCTAAATATCCAAATTATGCTTGGTATGTAGTAAATGCTTAATATGTATTTAAGAAGAAAAAAACACACACGAATCAATTGAATGAACCCTAAGCCAGCCCTAAAATCGCCTCCAATTAATTGCCCTCTGACAGAGGGACCGAAAGGGGGGCAAGGGGCGTGAGAGCAACTCCGGCCCCCCAGTGCCTTCCCCAGTACGCACCGGAAGGGTCATTGAATCGCTTCAGGGGCGCCTTGGGAAAGGACATGATGACCACCGACTCCACAAACCCAAGGGATCCAGCGTCCCTCCGCCGCCTCCCGGGGCCGATGCTGGCAGTACTGGCTTTCAAATTCAAATCTCCCGGCTCCTTACCCGCCCACCTCGGCGTGAGCCAATCGGAAAACCAAAACCCTGGGCGCACCAATCCAGGAAAGGAACATGAAAGGGGCACGCGTACTCAGCTCTCGCCGCACCCAATCAGGTAGCTTGAGCGTCTAGGCTACCAGCCTATAGGAGCCCACTACCGCCTTCGCCGCCCCGCCCCCTCCCCTGCCCAATCAGCGCTGGCGTTACTCAATTGTAACCCACCCTCGGACAGCATTTGCGCATGCGCACTTCAAATCGGAGCGGCCTGAAACTCGACCTGTGGCGTCACAAAGGTGGCGGCGAGTTCCAGCCTCGCCGGTCCCAACCTGTCTCTTATCGTTCCCGGAAATGTCAACTTTCCCGGGTTCCAGTTGTTTTAGAGTTGGCCCTGCCAGCGTCCTCAGCAGTCAAGGAAAAGGGAAATACAAACGCGCTGAGAGCTGAGCTGACATCTCTGCGCATGCGCGGCGACCCGAGCAGGAACCGGGAGCCGAGGAGCCGGGGCGTGGCCAGGGCGTGGAGATTCTGCGCATGCGCCCAGCCCTCGCTCGGTGCCGCGGCCGCGGCCGGGAGCCACCTGGAGCATGTCGGCCCCTTTCGAGGAGCGCAGCGGGGTGGTTCCGTGCGGGACGCCCTGGGGCCAGTGGTATCAGACCCTGGAGGAGGTGTTCATTGAGGTGCAGGTGCCGCCGGGCACCCGCGCCCAGGATATCCGGTGCGACCTGCAGTGCCGGCACGTGGCGCTGGCGGTGGGTGGCCGCGAGATCCTCAAGGTAGCCGCAGGCCGGGATGGCGCCCACGCTCTTCGCGGCCTCCCCGAATCCCCGAGTCCTGGAGCTCCCGGTTTCCGTGGGGAGACTCTGGGAAAGCCGATGGGCTTTTCTGGTTTTGGTCTGATAAGGAGTGTTCCCCCCCACCCCCCCAGGACTAGTCCTGATGTGACGCGGACATTCGAGGAGCCTATTTTTTCTGGCTTTGTTTCTAAATCCAATGGAACTGCTTCTGTTGTGCCTCGGCGGGTCTTCAGCGGAAACAACTAAACTTTAAGGGAATAAATGTTGATATTTCCAAACACACTCTTCCAGGCGCCGCCCTGAGTCAGCCAGGAGGGATGACAGCGTTGAATGAGACAGATAACGGCACTGGTTATGGCAAGCAGGGGAGCATAATAAAAGTATTGCTACAGGTATTTAGGCAGTTACAGGAAAGTGAAGAAGACACTCAAGGATAAGGACTTCGGCATGAGGGTTCAGAGATGGTGTCAGGTGTTTTTGTTCACCTAAAAATTACAAAAATTCTTCTGCCTGTTTCTAGAGTAATACCCCTTTTATTACCAGGGGCCTTTGGATCTGCGGTCCACTTTTGCCTGGTGATGCTTTGTAGTTAAAATCAATGAAGTCAAAGCTAGATTCCTGTCTCAGAGTAGCTGCTGCAGATGTTTGATGGCAGTGGGGAAGACGGATGGCATACCTGGTTCTGCCATTTTTGTAGTTTTGAAACCTTGGGCAAAAGATCTTTCAGTGTCTCTAATTTCATCCATAAAGTACAGTGATTATAGTACCATTTTTATAGGACTGTTTTGAGCCATGTGAATGAAGAACTTGGAGTAGTGCTTGGTATGTAATAAGCACACAGGACATGTTAGCGGTTAATTTTTAAAAAAAATATATTTTATTGATTTTTTAGAGAGAGAAAGAGAGGGATAGAGAGTTAGAAACATCGATGAGAAAGACACATCGATCAGCTGCCTCTTGCACAACCAAGGTACATGCCCATGACCGGAATCAAACCCGGGACCCTTCAGTCCACAGGCCAAGGCTCTATCCACAGCCAAACTGGTTTTGGCTAGCAGTTAATTTTCTATTAAAGTGCTTTAAGAAAAGCACCATTGATTGGAAAGACTTTTCTATCAACGTGGACCTAAATGATCTTTCTGAATAGCTTTGCAATCCATAGTTTCCTGAACAGTGGTTTAAGGTTACAATTCAAATTTCTAATTACTTGGGAATTTAGCAATAACTTATTAACTCTAGGATTTCAGGTGTACATTTAGACCACTAGGATTTTTCCCCCCCACAAGTATTGACATGCAAAAGAAAATAGGTATTTGTTAACATGATATTTTCTAAAAACAAATTTGACAAGCAACAAATAAATGGGTTTCAGCATATGCATTCTCCTTTAAACTTACATTTTGCTTTTTACTTAAAACCAGTTTCTGAAGAAAAACAGGAGCTACTAATCTTAGATCTGTAGTATGTGCTAAAGTAATTTGTTAATGCCAATTTGCCCAACAAAGAGAATGAGCCAGTTTGTTTTTTGTTGTTTTTTTTTTTTTTTAGAATGAGCCAGTTGTTAAAAGTTTATTTTAAAAGACACAATTTCTTCTTAATTTCATTAGGAGAGCTCTTATATTTTAATTGATAAACCATTTCAGTTATTTATTTTGTATTTGGTTAATCAGTGATCAGTAATATTTCTTAATCTTCTGAAAATTAAGGATCCCTGATCTTTCTTTAGAGAACCCCATGTTTTCTGTCATAGTAAATATTTCAGGCAGTGTAAACCAGGTTTCATTTCACTTGCTAGGAAGAAACTTAGGGTTGAGCACCTTTCAGTGTGTTGAAATGGTATAAGATTTTATCTCCCTATTCTAAACAAATTAGACAATTTTATGTGACTTAGATAGGAAATTAGGTAAATCTTAAATCATGAAGGATTCCCTTTTGATAAGATCTACATTTCCCTATTTACTAGTACGTCTGCTATTTGATACAAAGTTTATAAAAATTAATGAAATTTCTATATTTTTAGTAATTTATCTGTTTATTTTTCAGGGCAAACTTTTTGATTCTACAATAGCTGATGAGGGAACATGGACTTTGGGTAAGGGTAATCTATAAATCCTAGGGTCTTTCACAAGTTAATTTTGTCTTGGAACTTAGTATGTTTTCCCTCTTGTATTTGGTGCTTTGTTTTTGAAGTTTTGAAAGATATATTAATAGAAATGTATTGAGAGTAAGTTTGTTGTGTCAAGATTACCTAATGTTTTTTGAAAATAGAAAATTTAATGAACTCTAATTTATGATTTCTGTTTGTTTATTTAGAGGACAGAAAAATGGTTCGTATTGTTCTTACAAAGACAAAGAGAGATGCAGCAAATTGTTGGACTTCTCTTCTAGAATCTGAATATGCAGCTGATCCTTGGGTGCAAGACCAAATGCAGAGAAAACTTACATTAGAGAGATTCCAGAAAGAAGTAAGTCAGATAAATGTATGTGTATGTATAAACATCTTAGAAACAATAATTATTTTTGGAAATTAAAACTCATGAGGTTATAAAATTATAAAAGTTCTGTAGAGGAATTTTAAAAGTTAAATGCTTAGAAAAATGACCTTTTAATGCATGGATTTTTTTTAAAGATTTTTTTGATAATTTATACTACCATGACTTCTAAGTTTAAAATTTAGTTAATGTGTACAGTAATGGCTGAATAATCTCATAAAACTCAATCAATATAGTCTTACATAGTACAAAAAAGTGAAGGCCTCTTCATCAACATCTCTGCTTTTCATGCCTCTGTCTCAGTCTCATCTCATCAATATATTGGCTTGTTTTGTTTTAACATAAATGGAGACTCACACTGTTTATTGTTTGTATTTCTTTTTTAATAATACATCTTGGTTCTCTTTCTCTATTAGTACACATAGAAAAAACTCACTTCTTTAACTCTTCAGGGTATTTTCTAGTTTGTAATATTTAGCTATTCCCATTTGATAAGATTTAGATTTCCCTATTTACTGATATGTCTGCTATTTGAAACAAAGTTTATGCTGTCATCTCTGAAACTATTCAAACATTCAAACGTATATCTTTAGCTTAGACTTTTCTCTTGAATTTTGGACTCATAACCAATTGCCTATTCAATATCTCCATTTGGCTAGCAAACATTAAAGTCAGTACGTCCAACATGGGATTTCTAACCTTTCTCTCACATATGTTCTACCTCTAAGCTTCTCATCTCAGTTGATGGACATGAGTTTTCAAATAAAAGTATGTACACACACACACACACACACACACACACACACACGCACGCTAGAGGCCTGGTTCACCGGATTTGTGCACTGGTGGGGACATGGCCTGCGGGGATCAGCCCATCGTTGGAGCACTGCTCGTCCCAGTCAGTTGAGCAGCACTCCCACTGTGGGAGCACACTGACCAACAGGGGGCACCTCTTGTATTGAGTGTGGTGGTCAGAGCACGTCATAGTGATTGGTTGACTGGTTGTTTTATACACACACACACACACACACACACACACACACATTTATCTACATATATGTGTATATATACACTTACATGTATGGTAAATATGTATGTAAATATGTATGGGGCCGTGATCAGATAGAGTGTCAGCCCGGGGGACTGAAGGATCCCGCTTCGATTCTGGTCAAGGGCATGTTCCTTGATTGTAGGCTCCCATGTCGATCCCAGACTGCGGTACGTGCAGAAGGCAACCAAACAATGTGACTATTTCTCTCTCTGTGTCCCCCTCCCTTCTACTCTCTCTAAAAAATCAATGGAAATGTATACTCAGGTGAGGATTAAAGAAAAAGGGATGTGAGGCCGAAGTCGGTTTGGCTCAGTGGATAGAGCGTCAGCCTGCGGACTGAAGGGTCCCAGGTTTGATTCCGGTCAAGGGCATGTACCTTCGTTGCGGGCACATCCCCAGTAGGGGGTGTGCAAGAGGCAGCTGATCGATGATTCTCTCGTATCGATGTTTCTAACTCTCTATCCCTCTTTCTTCCTCTCTGTAAAAAATCAATAAAATATATTTTAAAAAAAGAAAAGAAAAAGAAAAAGGGATGTGAGGAGTCATCCTCCATTCCTGTCTGTCTCTTATACCCTATCCATTTTGTCAGGAAATCTTAGTGGTACTACCACTGCCACCCTTAATGGGACTACCTCTAATGTCTTGTCTAGATTATTTTAATAACCTAATTGTTCTCTTCACTTCTATCTTTGCAAAGCTACAGTACTGTCAAAATAGTAGAGTAGTTCTTTTAAAATGCAAGTCAGATTACAGTACTTCTCTTATCAGAACTTGTTCACTCTAGTTAAGATAAGGTCTCTTAAAGGGCTCCATCTGATCTGGCCTTCTATGATCTCCCTGATCTCTTCTCTTAATGCTGTTCCCCGTGGTCATTCTGCTCTAGCCACACAGGCCATTTTGCTGTTCCTTAAACATGTCAGGCCATTTCTTTTCTGTCATTTTCTTTTGCTAAAGCTTGGCTAACTTCACAGTTTTCAAGTCATTACTCATGAGTATTCTTTGAGTTTTGACCATTCTGTTTAAATACTGTAACTTCTTCATTTCCCTTATTCTGTCTTACTTTTCTTTTTTTTCTAGCAGTTGCTCTACTTGGGTATTTTTTCCTATCTTGTCTTCTAGCTCACTGATGGCGGTCCTCTGCTTCTTCTAGTCTACTCTTGATGCTTTCTATTGAGTTCTTTATAGCAGCGATGTCATTTTTCATTTTTCTTGATTCTTCTTCATTTCCTCTTGGTTCTTACACATATTGTTGAATTTGTCTTCCATTCTTTTCATCCACCTTATGACCATTTCTCTGAATTTTTTCTCTGACAGGTTGCTTGCCTCCATTTAATTTACTTCCTTTTCTGATGATGCCTGTTTTTCTTTCATATGTGTGCTGTTTCTTTGTTTCCCCATGTTCTATCTTCTCCAAGTGTCTGGTTATGTAGTTCTCTCTCTCCTGCTCCCAGGTGAAATCTGACCTTTTCATGGTGCAGTGTAGAGCTCCTCTGAATAAGTGTGCTTACGCCACTTGGGAACCGGTGTTCTCAGGTTCACAGCTGTTTGGTGTGTGCCATAGTTGTAGACTCCCCGGGCTTTTCAGGCTCCTGATAATATCCACTTTTCCTTCAAGATGGCACGGTCTCTGGTTTCGAGCTGATTGCTCCGGGAGGGAACCCAGCAGCAGTGGGGGCTGCCTGGTCAGGGGAACCCCGTCCGACAGTCCCCTATAGTCTCCTGGATTATAGCTGTTCCTCAACTCACCAACAAACTCTCCCCATGCCACCACACACTCTCCCGTTGTTTTCTCAGTCACACACTACCTTGCAGTCTGCCTTCCCATCGGCAGCTATCTTCCTTCTCCTGCCTACTTTTTTTTTTTTCTATAGTACTTACCAACTTTTAACATACTAAATACCAACTCTTAATACACTAGATCAGGGGCCTGCAAACTGGCTCATAGGTCAAGTCCAGCTTGTTTTGGAAGTAAAGTTTTATTGAAACACTGCTATGCTCATTTGTTTGTGTATTGTCTTTCATAAGAGCAACAGTAAAATTGAGTAGTTAGGACTGAGATTATATGGTCTTCAAAGCCTAACATATTTACTACCTGGCTCTTTACAGAAAAGTTTGCTGACTTCTGCACTAGATAACTTAATGGTTTATTATTTGTGTCTTGTTAGAGTGTAAGCTCCACTGAAGCAGGGATCTTTGACTATTTGTTTACTCTTGAATTCTACATGCCTCTAATAGTGTCTTCCAAACACTAGAAACTCAATAAATGTTTGTTGAAATGAAATGTCCTGCGAAAGACTAAAGCCTGGGGTAATGCTTACTTCATAGGATTTGAAGCTTCCTCATGAGGATTAACTGTTAATATATGTATAGCTCTTAGAACCCATATAGCAAGGTCTCAAAGAATGCTATTAAAACCTGTTTGGACACTGATACTAAATTGTTAAAAAAAAAAGAAAAAAAAATCTTTTTTTTAATCCTATGTATTTCATCCTATTTGTCTCCTTTTTGCTAAATATATATATATATATACACACACACACACACACACATATTTTAAACAGTCTCAAATGTGTTTGTCCATACACTTGTAAACATTGTAATACCCATATTGGATCTTCTAAATATTTGTAAGTCTGAACATTATAAAATTATAGTTTTAAGTTTTATTTTGGTGATTACAATGCAGTTTGGTACATATATACATGTTTATTGGCTATTTAGATTTCCATTTTTCTCACCTGCCAGTTCAAGTCTTTTTATCAATTTCCTTTGAAGTTACTTATAGTTTTCTTCATGAGTTTTATCAAATATTGTTGTTCATATCTTTTAGAATCCTGGTTTTGACTTCAGTGGAGCAGAAATCTCAGGAAACTACACTAAAGGTGGACCAGATTTCTCAAATCTGGAGAAATAACTGCTATTTTTTTGCTGCATTTTGTGGACTCTAGCAGATGTTACCAGCTTGATCAAAGGAACAAATTACATGGTGGAAGAAAAGTGTGGATGGCTATAGTTAACACATTGCAAAATATATTTAAGTATGGTTCTAAAAATTGCATTCAAATATTATTTACATAGGAAACCTCTTAAATACTTTGGTAGCTATTAATATATGGTAACTGTTTTTGGACTTGGTTTTGCTCAGCATGAAGTTTCATATGATGCATTTTGCTAATTTCATATTAACCTATATTTTTAATACAAAAAAGTTAGGGAATAGATCATCATGAAAAGATAGGGTGCCTTCAGGGAAAATTAATTTTTTTTCTTCTAAGAAGTGTGATGCAGGAGTAATGTTCAGTAAACTTTTTAATATAGGAATTGTGTACCCTTTTGGCTAAGTATACCAGTCTATACAAGGAAACTATATTAATGAAAACAACTTTAGGAAAGAAAAAAATCCACAAGTATATTCTAAGTAAGTTAACTTTAAGAGTTAATGAAAACCTCTGAATTAGTATATTATTTCTTGAGAGATCTCTTTATTCAAGAAACTTAAAAGTAGTAAACCTCAAAGTAGGAATGGATTAATACAAAAAGATATTTGGTGAAGTATGATTATTGGGCATATATATTGTTAGCACCATAAAACAAATTATGGTCAATGATTATAAATCAGTGACATAATTTTGATCTTCAGTGATCCAGGCATAGAAGGAAGAATTGTCTTGAAATTTTATTTCATTCTTTTTTATCTCTTTTTATATATAAAAAATATTAAAACAATCTCAAATATATAGAATAGTTACAAATAAAGAACATAGAATTGTGTTTTTTCCCCTCAACCAGTTTGTGTAAATTGATGACATGATGCCCAATTACCTCTTTGTACCTTAGTCTGTATTTCCTTGAATACACACAGTCATGTATTTCCTTACATAATTCAATACAACCTTTAAAAGCAGGAAATAAGCATTGGCACATTACAACTGTCCAATTCTCAGACCTTCATTCCTTTCAAGTTCAATTGTCCCAGTGTCTTTTATATTTATAGCAAAGGTGTACAGTCAGAATCATGCTTTCCCTTTAGATGTCACTTGTCAACTGTGCTTAAATTTGGAAGAAGTACTCATTTTTCCCTTGACTTTTACAACCTTGGCACTTTTGAAGATTACAGACTATTTTTTTACAACATTCCTCAATTCGAATTTTGTCTGATATTTCTTCATTAGGATCAGGTTTTGCATCTTTGGCAGGAATGTTAAAGAAGTGATGCTGTGTTTTTATTGCATCCTACCATGAGTTAATTTTAATTTGTTCTTTTTCTGATGGTGATTACTTAGATCACTGTTCAAGTGGTATCCGTTAGTTTTCTCCATTGTAAAGTTTCTCTCTTTATGTGTATAATTGAGTACTTTGTGGAGGTTAGTTTCAAATTATCTTGTTTCTTATCAAACTTTTATTGATATCTTTGTGAACTCATTATTTCCTACTTTATTCAGCAGGTTAAAACCTATTGTTCCCATTACTTTGATTCTCAAAATTTTTCTAAATTTGGCCAGTACCAGACTATTGTAGGTGGCTTCTATGTCCTTTTGACATGTCCCCATCATTATCTGAGCAATTTCTTAATCTGTCACAAGGCGTATGAGGCTTATTATGCTTTCTCTGCCCGAGCCCAGAATTAGCAATTTTTCCACGGAATTTTGGTTTTCATTCATGGTTTTTAGAAGTGTGCAATTACTGTTGATGTGTGTATAGTGCATACATTTACATCTATATTTATATGTATTGAAAACCATGTGTGCATACTTGGTTTTTAGTAAAGTCACTTTCATTTTTAATCTCTTATGATCATTTTTGTTTTCTCTGTAACTCCTTTCGACAACAGTGAGAAACCTGATTCTATTATCCTTAATGTATTTGGTTCCCTATTCTAGGCTATGTTGCTATGAATGAATGCCTTCTCTTACTGTATTTAGGCTCCAGTACCCTATGCCAAGCAATGATGTCCTCACCCGGGACCCTAACCCTCCACACTGGGCCACTGCAGCCCAGCCACGCCCTATGTTCATGTTACCTAATAACTTTAGGAAAGAAATTCCGGGGAAGAAGCTTTTTTCTTTTAATTGGCTTCTTATTTTAACATTTTGAAAATATTTTATAATTTGAATAAACATAAAGTAAAATGAACTTTTTTGTTGGTAATTTTGTGAATTTTAATATGTAGAAATATGTACTTCCAAAATCAGGAGATTGAGCAGTTCAGTCACAAAATGCCTTCATGCTAGATTTGTCTTTTTAACAAGATTATGTAACTGGAATCATGTGCTTTTTTAAAAACAGCTTTATTGAGATAAAATTTATTTTACCCATTTAAAGTGTGTAATTCAATGGCTTTTAGTATACTCACGTATTCAACCATCATCAAGGTCCATTTTCATTTTCATTGCCTGAAAATGAAACCCCTTTTATTGTAGCTATCATCCTCCCCACAGTTCCTGACTTAAGCAACCACTAATTTACTTTCCATTTCATAGATTTCCCTGTTCTGAACATTATGAAATAACTGGAGGCCCAGTGCACGAATTCAAGCACGGGTGGGATCCCTTGGTCTGGCTGGTGATCGGAGCCGATTGGGGTCATGGGAGGTTGGCTGGTGGGGGGAGGGGCCACAGAAGGTTGCCCAGCCGCCCCAATTGGGGCTGATGGGACCGGCCAGGTGTGGGGAGGACCATAGGAGGTTTGGCTGGCGGGGGGCGGGGAGGAGGAACTGTGGGAAGCTGGCTGGTTACGGGGAGGGGTCGAGGGAAGTTGGCCAACCCAATCAGGGTCATCAGATTGGGAGGGATTGCAGGGGAGGAGCCACGGGTGGTTGGCTGTGGGAGTGCACTGACCACCAGCGGGCAGCTCCTGCATTGAGTGTCTGCCCCTAGTAGTCAGTGTGTCATAGCGACCAGTCAACCAGTTATTTGGTCGCTTAGGCTTTTACTAGTAGTCCTGCGCAAGAATCCATGCACCAGTAGGTCGCTGCTGCCCTCCTATAGCTCTCTGCCTCCTGCTTGCTTGTTGCCCTGCCCTGTCCTGTAGCTCTCCACTGCCCACATGTAGTTCGCTACCCTACCCTTCTGCAGATCCATGATCCGGTTGTTACGTGGTCGGTCTTTATGCCTCATGGTAAAATGGATAATTAGCATATTCCTCTTATTATATAGGATATATAAAAGCCTAAGCAACTATTACAACCAAATGACCAGTCGACCAGTTTTGACCAGTCATATATTGTACATGCACTGACCATCTGGTGGCTGATGGTCAATGCAGGAGTGGCCCCCTGGTGGTCAGTGAGCTGCCACAGTCAACCTCCATGGCCTCTCCCCCTGGCTGGCCGGCTGGGCCCCATCAGCTCCTGTTGCTAAACCATTTGTAGAGACCTGCTTCTGGGTTGGAGTTTCATACATAGCAGAGCAGCTCCCTTGTTGTGAACTATTGAAAGTCAGCCCTTGACACAAATGTTTGTCTCCCATCCTCTTCCCCCAGGGCTGCAAGCCCACTAAGGTGATAGCCGTGGTGAGAGTAGGAGGAGAGGGATGAGGCGGGGAACTGCCTCCTCTCCCTTCCCTGGGGGCCACCTGCCTGCCATGGTGTTGGTGAGGGAAGAGGGGGTAAGGAGGGGAATCATGTGGTAGGGCACCGACAGCAGTGTCCAGCGTCCGTTCCTTCTGCACCCGGCCTAGCAGCTCTTGCCTCCTCTCTCAACCCCACCGGGGCCTTTGGGCCCAGGCCGGGACAGGGAACTGGGGGTGGGTGGTAGCAAACACAGCCCCTTTCTTAGGGGGGCTGAGGCCTGGCTCCCTCCTTGGGGACCAGTGGCCAACCTCCTGAGGTCCCCCCTACTCCATCCCCTGCTACCAGCCAACCTCCCATGGTCCCCCCTCCTCCGTGCATGAATTCGTGCACTGGGCCTTCCAGTATATAAATAATATGTGGTCTTTTTTTTCCTTAGCATAATGTTTTAAAGGATTTCCACATTATATGCCAGTGCTTCAATTAAAAAAAAAAAAGATATTCTTACTGAATGTTTTAGAGGATGGGAGAAAAACATCAGTGTGAAAGCAAAACATCAATTAGCTGCTTCCTCCACACACCCTACCAGTTCATTGTACAATAAATTGGGATAACTTCATACATTTTAGAGGATTACATGAGATGATTCATATAAAATATCTGGCAATAGTATCCGATAGTAAAATTATTGCTAACCACAGATATTAGATCAGAAATGTTTAATTGTTTAGATAGTAGGTAGCTGAATTAGAAATACAGATAAGGTGCAAGTAACCTTTTTAAAAATAACACTTGTGAAAAGAGAGCTTATTGAATATCTAATCTGAGTAGAGTGCAAAAGGGGACATTTTAAGTTTTTCTTTCATCAGTAATCCCTTTTAGTGTCTACTTTGGTTTAATTAAACATGAACAGTTCAAAATTACCGTATTTTTCGGACCATAAGACGCACTTTTCCCCCCCCAGAAGTGGGGGGGAAAAGTCCCTGCGTCTTATGGTCCAAATATAGCCTACACATATACTTTAAAAAAAAGTTTTTTTACTTGCCCGGCTCTGTGTGGTCTCTGTGTGCTTGCCCGGCTCTAAAATGGTTCTAAATGCTGCTGTTTACTTTACAGGGTTGATTACATGTGTTTATGACTGTGATGTTGGGTTTTAATGCACATAAAATATTTTAGGACACTATTTGTTTCAGAATCTTTTTTTCTTCATTTCCCTTCTCTAAAAACTGGTGCATCTTATGGTCCAGTGCGTCTTATGGTCCGAAAAATATGGTACATATTGTTTTAGTTCAACAATAACCAGTTGATCTAACACAATACTTGGCAGTTTACTGCCACTATCTGGAATACTGTTTAATTAGGTAAAGAGGGTTTACACAAAACTTTAGGTGGGCTGAATCTAAGGGTGGAAGTTGTATTAAGGATATCCACAGTAGTGATTAATCCAAATGATAAAAATAACCACAGTGCAAAAAATCAATTTTTAAGCACATTAAGCATATTTATCATCGTCTACTTCAGAAAACCATTAGAGTAAAAGCTTCAAGTAAATAATGGCCATACTATTAAAGAGATTTTTTTTCTGCTACCATACATCTTACTTCAGTGCTAACTAAATAGACTGAGTAGAACCCTAGCTGGTGTTGATCAGTGGTTAGAGCATTGGCCCTGGGCACCACAGGGTCACGGGTTTGATTCCTGGTCAAGGGCATGTGCGCCAGTTGCAGGTTCTACCCCTGCCTGGTCATTTGTGTGCAGGAGGCAACCAATCAACATGTCTCATGTTTCTCTCCTCTCTCTATTCCTTCCACTCTCTCTAAAAATCAATGGAGAAAGTATCCTCTGGTGAGGATTTCAAAAATAGACTAAGTAGAGATAGCTTTTTATTGTGGTTCTGCCATCACATTGCCAAAATACTTTGTTGAATCAGAAGAGACAAATTAGAAAACCACCCAGCAAAGCCATGCATTTCAATCACTTTATTGAAATGTATATCAATGCATCGCAATAATTTTATTGAAATGTATATTCCTTAGTACTAAAACATAATGGTAGTTGGTTAGGTTACCTCTGCAAACTCAGAATTAACATGGATGCAATTAAAATATTGAAATGTATCAGCCTTTTGGGAAAAATGAAAAGTTATCTACAAAACATACTCTTTACAAAAGTATGAGATATACCGTGGTTCTTTGGTTT